GATCTTCTTTACGTTCTTCTGTCCTGTGATCTTCTCCACACTTTGGACACCTGTGTTTACCTGTGCACGCTGCTGCCATGTGTCCATATCTCTGGCACCTGTAGCAGCGGAGTGGTGGTGGGATGTAAGGCCTAACTTGAAAATTCAAATATCCTATATTTATGTTTGCTGGTAAGGTTGTCTCATCAAACTCAATCATAATTGATAAACTTCCTACTCTCTCCTCATTAACAGTTCTTGACAGTCTCTTCAAGTCGTTTACTTGTGCACCAACAATGTTCCTTTTTATTTGATCTAAATCTTCATCCACTGGGATCCCGTAAATAACTCTGCGAACTGTTTTGTTTTCTCCCATTATCTTTCTTTCCATGACCATTCTTTTACAGATGTTCTTGACGTGCAAAGCCTTATTTTGTTCTTCTTCAGTTTTACATGATATTAATAAATTTCCATCTCTTCACACCTTCATCATTTCTACATCCCCAATCTTCCTTTGTATTTCTTTTGATATCAAAATGGGGCTTAAGTTACCCTGCCCTTCCTCATTTTTTACTTTTAACATTACTTTAAATTCATCCCTCACTACTTTTCTTCTTACCACCCTTTCTTCATCCGAGCTGCTCCCTTCCATTACTCTGGCTGTCCTTCGTCTTTTCCTCCATTGTATTTCTTCCTCCTCCTCTACCTCCCAGTGTCCACGCCTCAACATCCATGTCTGCCTCGTCTCCTACCTGCTTTTCCATCCGAACCATTCACATACCAGTTTATGCCAATTTCCGCCTGTTCCAAAGTCCAAAAAATTGTCAAATATCAATAATCTGTCAAAAAATGTTTTAAATTCTGCGCGCAACAGCTTCCTCCTCCTGAGTCAGCCCTCGACCCAAAAAGAGCCAGCTCTCCATACAAAGATGAACTGGTTCTCCGTATTTAACCCACCGTACCTGGGAGACAGCCAGGTGGAGCAGTGGGCGGCTATTGAGCGCCCGGGGAGCAATTGGGTATTCGGTGTCTTGCTCAGAGACACCACGATGTGGGAAAGGCTGGGAGTCGAAGCACGCCTTTGTGTTTTCGGGTCGGGTGCTCGTACCCCATCTCAGCTGCCCGTACCCCATCTCAGCTGC